GTTTCTTTAGAAAAATGTTTTGTATTTTTGGTTTCAATAGCATATCAAAATATTCAAACTGATAGCTTCAGGCGTAACTGAGTTATCGCAATTATGAAACGGATATGACGTCTTGGTGGCCATCTTGGATTTTGTATCAAGTCAAATGTTAACAAAATTTCGGTAGGCAGTCTTGGCAAACATAAACATCTAGACTGGATGAAATCTGCATCACAATAAAACGGTTTGTATTGTCGGCTTTTCATAAAGACCAAAGGAAATAAACAATGAAGTTACCAAATTCATCGCAATAAAATTTCTCATCTACTACAAATAGATATGAAATAAAAGACTGAACATATTTACTGCCGATCAAAAGATTAAGACGCTACACAATCGTGACAGAAGAATAAAAATAAGACACGTGAACATAGCAAAAGGTCTTTTCACCTGATGGTAAAAAAGCCTTATAAGGCACTCTAGTGAGCAAAATCCAAATCTGTGATGCTTATTCCACAGGAAAGATCATGCACATCACAGAAGAAATAGGGATTGAGAGAGTTGATATCAAATAACTGAAAAAAGATGTTTTGGTAAAATAAAAGCGTAAACATTTCTTTACTATGAATTAAAAATTGCGTTGGCATACATTTTTTGACGATTTTTTTCCAGAAATTCTTTTGGCGTAGAGTGATGATATGTGGCCTGTAACTTTCTAGAATAAATTACACTCATAAACAAGTTCGTTACTAAGTAAGTGGTGTTCAGTCAAGTGTGTGATTAAGTGTTTTAGTGATTTAGTAACCTAATATATGTCAACGTAATAATGTCTTATCATTCATTTTTCATGATTTGCTACCATATATTTTAAATCTACATATATATATTTCTTATCACTAATTAATCAACAGTTCAAAAAATTATATCTTAAGATGTTATTTAAAAGCTGGGCATCATACATGAATAATATGCTTTTATGTTAATATCCGTTAAAATTTAGAATTCTGTCACCTTCAGTTTCTTGACCTGACACCATGGGTGACCGTCGTGTCTGATGTAAACAAATCAGTGGTAGTCTGGTGCACTTATAACTCTAGATATGTCAGGACATTTATCAAGGTAAATAGCAGAGGTCATCTTTAAAGTCAATATAAGAGGACACTCATTTGGCCGAAGTTAGAGGACATGTATTGCATTCAATGACAGAGAAAAATTGAGGTCAATATATGAGAACAATTATTTAGGTCAATGTCGGAGGATATTTATTTATGTAAATGTACTACGTCACAAAGCATGAAGATTTCCACCTCAGAGCAGATTTTTAAAGTTAAATACTTCGTCCTTTAAAGACGATATAGGAATATGAATGAAGACTGTGCTAGCTTAGAGTTAAAACCCTTTACAAGACTTTCATGTTTCATTTTTATACCCCTTGAAAACAAACTCCTCCTAAACCGTTGTTTGGATTTTTTTGTAGATATGCATGAAGAAGGAATTTGCGATGTAACTATTTGTCCATGAGTTATGTCTCTTGAAACTTAAATTTCTGCTTCAGAAACTTTGTAAGCGCACCTCCTCCTTAAGAGTTTGACTTTTTTATAACTTTACACAGCTCTAAAGGACTGTATAAATTGAGATTTTTCTTGACCGCTAAAAACATGTTTCCTTTTTTCTTTTTAAATATAACTATAACATACTTTCCTTTTTTATGAAAAAGTAACAGAAAAAATGACGTTTTGCATTCTTTGTGCTAAGTTATTGTGCTAATGCTATTAATCATTAATTGACCATCGGTTGTTCTTAAAATTATTGATATGATGTCTTACTTAATTCCATGTGACCTCATCATGCCAATGTTAAACACTTCTTGAGATTAAATAACATGCACGCAAAAATATGACGTCTCATGCCAGAGTTACTTTTCATCATTTTATTTTCTTTTCGAATAAAAACAAATACTTATCAACTATGTATTGAAAAACTGTTGTCCGTTTTTGATAAAATTAAAAAGGAATGACCAGTAATTTGTAGGGATGATGTTGGTTTTACTGTAAAATTGGGTACAATGTTATCTACATGGTAACTTAAGTTATGATAATGTAAGAAATTAGAACACTTTTGTATAGCCGTAAAGAATTTGCTTTGAACTTCCTCTACTAGGGTAAATGCATTTGTCCTGTGGTTTAATGGGATGATATGCAGTCAACTTTTTCAAACGTTCAATACTAAAGTGGTTAAATATGTAAAAGTAAATATGTAAGACCTAGGTCATGCTGTTAAACTGTACCCCGGTGAAACAAATGAATATCATCTAGAGATTGACCAACTTTCAATGTCACAGAGGTCAAATGTGTTTTTGAATATCCCTAAAGTATAAAGTAATGATATTTGGTTTGTGCATATTGCGTATTGGGTTAACTGGCTATCAGTCCTGTTGACTATCTTGAAACCACATTTAAGGCCATATTAAAGTATATATACACATAGGGTGAGATTATTGATATCTGGCCTGAAATGTAAGCTGGCTTGGAATGGGACCAGTAGGTATATTTCATGTTATATGAACACAAACATGAACAGATTGTTCCGAAGTGTCAGCAAAACCATTAATCGATTTCAAAATAATTAAAACTAGGGCAACATATGAACAACGGAAATATTAACATGATGTTTACGACGTCCGCCATGTAAAATCTAGGTCAAATCCTAGTCTAAAAATTGATTTGACGTACTTCGAAGGTTGTGGAGGTCAAATGGACTTGTCATTCAAAACCATGTGAGAGATATAGACTGGTTGTTTAAGGTTTAACCATACATCTGTTATTTAAAAATGAATCTGCCTATTGCTTTGCCAACCCCAAAGATACCCTTTCCAATTCCCTTTGCAACGCATTTGATTCCACCCAACAAGGTTGAAATCACCCCTTTGTCTTCGTCCTCATATTCCTTTCGTACTTTTGAGCGCATTTTATCTGAGTCCAACTTATATCTTTCAGCTTGCTCCAGAAGTTCTTGTTTTCTGCGTCTATGTTCTGCTTCACATTGCCGTTCCCGTTCTTCAGCTTGACGTAGTTGATTTTCATAATCTTCATTCTCCTTTTGCAGTCGTTTCATTTGTTCCTCTTGCTCTTTTTCCCTGCGTTTATGTTCGTTCTCTTTAAATACCATCGATTGTGCACTTCTACGTTGACGTTCTTGTTCCTCAGCTTCATCTAGACGACGTTGACGTTGCTCGGCCTCTTTTTGTTGTTTCTGTTCCTGCATTTTCAAAGAGTGTTCCTTTTCCCTGACGATGCGTTCCTTCTCTTCCAGTTCCCTTTTGCATTGCCATTCCCGTTCTGTGGCTCTCAGTTGTTGTCTTTGCCGTTGTTTATTTTCCTCCTCTTTCAAAGCATGCTCCTTTTCTTTGAGGTGTCGTTCTCTTTCTTCCCTTTGTCTATTTCTGGCCATGTGCTCGTTTTTTTCCTTTGACTGTTGAAGTTGCTCTAAAATTCTTTGCTTGTCTTTATTAACTTTATCCATTTGCTGCCTGAACTCATTTTGTAACGTTTGTGTTATCCGTTTCTTTTCAAGTTCCTTTTCTCTATATTTTTGAAGTTCAATTTCCTTCACTCTTCTTCGATACTGTTTCTCTGCTTCCTCGTACATCTCATTGGAATAACATTTGCCACCGTTTCTTTCAGTGATATCACGGATTATTTGGATCAGTGTCATTGCATCTTTTTCGCGCATATGTGGGGCCTGATTGTTGTCAAACGCAAGATATCTCTGATTGCATTTCCTTATGATTTCTTTGAATTTCGGTGCGGCCCTCTGTACGCAACTTTGAATGGTATCCTTTTGTCTTTCCAAATCATCTCTCCGTGTGAACAACACCATCATGTGATTAAACATTCCTTCTCCAAAAATATCAGAAAATTGTTTAACTGTGTCCTGATCTTCCTTGGTAACCGTCCTACAGAAACTACGAGTACGATTGCGTGTGGTCCGGGAGACGTCATACCGATGCATTTGACAATCTCCTTTGTGACAATCTCATTGGTCATACCGGTGTCGAATAAACCTGGTGTATCCACTACTAGAAGTTTTTTCCCAAAGCGATCAACGTGACCAGACGAGCATCTTTGGGTTACTGATGAAAGGGACGAGACCGACGAAAACGCATCCTTACCTAAAATGGTGTTTCCTGTTGCACTTTTACCGGAACCAGTTTTCCCGATTAAAACAATTCGGATTTCAAAAATGTTGAATGCCGTTTTCATAATGTTCACTTCTTTAAAACGGTTCAAATGAGACGTTGCACCCATTTAAGTGAACCTATGTTATCGTTCTGGAAGCCTCAACAGTATCTTCGATATCAATCATGATACAAATACACTGTAGCTACATGCAGTGTACGTAGAACCTGGCATATATGAAAGAACTTTGTTGCTTTGTCAAATAGTAACTGCATTCTTTGATTTTGCGTGTATAGGGCCTCGATTTGAAATAAATTGACATTGAGAGATGATTTATCTTTTAAGTGTTAATTTACTGTTTGTTGTATGATTTAAGACGCTTGATGGGCATTGGCTACACAAAGTAATACAAAATTACAATGTGGTGTTTAGTTGAGGATTCGATTGATTACATAGAAAGAAGAAAATGTATCTCTGCAGCTTTTTGATCATGTGTATATTCATACAGGAGTAGAATTTCACTTGTTATGCTGACGTGGACGCATAACCAAGCAATATTCCATTTTTTTTCAACACTGTAGTTTGCTTGACCATTGCAAAATTACATTAAAAGATGTGGCGACTGCTTGCAAAGTCTTGGGTTTTATGACAACCGTAGCCATTTGTTGATTTGGATAGTTGGCTAAGATCCATTAACTTGTTTTTGTATTATATTGTACAACGTACGTTGTGTATAGTTCACCTTTAACCATCCAAGGTTAAGATGACATGTTACGCTTACATTTGTAGCGTGTTAAATATAAGAAAAAATTATTAATAAAATCAAATGAAATCCCAAATATGATTACCAGATTCCAATATAAATTTCCCCATTTTCTGGTCCATTCCATGGAATGTTACAGATTAATCGGTATGTTTGCGTCTCTTGTGGCACATCCCGCATCTCCAACTGCAGCTAGTACATAACCAATCTGGAAATCATACAAACGAATCAAATTTGTGTGATATTAAACCTTGGAAATGTAATATAATGTAAGCAAATTTTCTAAAATTCTTGTTATTGTTAATAGGTATTTTTCACAACATATATACAGGTATTTTGTTATTGCAAAAACAATAAATGTAATATTCAATTAACTCCATTTGATATACGATTGATTAAAATAACCTTAATAATATTATGATTACCGCAAAAGAAACATACAGTATTGTATATTCTTTTTACCTACCATCTCCATTTGGCGACTCCTCAGCATCACCCTTAATTTCTGTGACTGTAAATTTATGATATGATAGTTATAAATATTTCTTGCTAGCAATTTTATGCAAATTATACGTCAACTGATATTTACATTTACATCACAATGCTTGTTCCCAGAGAATTTGGTGAAATCCAAATAAAAATGAATTTGTGAATTCCTGTAAAATTGTTTTTATGTTTACGCCAATTAGATGTCATGAGTCCCATCTCAGACCGCGAATAGGTAACTATCGTTTTAGGCCACACCAGGTAATGTAGTGATGTTTTAATGCCTCCACCAATCCAAGAACAACGAGCGATCTTATTTCCAGATAATATAAAAAAAATTAGCAAAAAAATAATGAGCCCCATTATTATTCTGCATATGAAGCCGTATATTTCAAGAAACACATTACCAAAATCAGAATCGTTCTCCTTTATTGTTTGATCAATTTCTCGGAATGTTAACGGTTCGGTGGTATTTTTGCGACCTTTGTAGCACATCCTGCACTTCCAACTGCTAGAAGGGTTCAGGTATGTACAGAAAGTACAGGACCAATCTGAAAATCAAGTTTTGAGTTACAAATATTCTTCATTTGGAAATATCTTTTCTAAACTTGACAGAAACACTATTGTTATTTGCCACAGTAGAAATGTTATATGACATATGGCGGATAAAACACTTGCCCATATTCGTCATTTATCGTTCTCCTATGACCCTAGCTGTTGCGAGGACGTTAAACCTCCAAACAAACAAATCATTAACCTACATTATTGGAATTCGTCCTGAATCACACATCAACTGCGACATGTCAACACTTATGGTTTGGAAAAAAGAATATTAGTGTACTACGAAAAATATCATTTCATGATCCATAAATTAAATCGCCATGACTATAATCAGCTTAGCAGTAAGTCGTCCGTAATGGTCTTGTGGTAACTGAATATCGAGGAATTAAACATATTACGCCAATTGGTTAATAATGTATTCAAATAGCAAATAATAAAAAAAACTATTTTAAGGGCATATTAAAATTTGGTGAAAAATCCCGTTATAAGTATTGTATTTACTTATTACCTACCATCTCTATTTTGAGGCTTTTTCTCAGCAACATCTTTAGTTTCACTAACTGTAAAATAATGGAGATGGTCGACAGTTGATTCGGTATTTCGGAACTTGTTTTGAATATCTTAATTTCCTTAAAAGATGTCGACTTCTGATAGACAAACTTACAACGCAGGGTTTCCGTGATAGATGTCGACTACTGATAGACAAACTTACAACGCAGGGTTTCCAAATGTTGAACACCATAAATGAAATGTTGTATGGCCACCATTATGATTATGTCGGGAAATTTGCTATGTTACTTGGATATGACCTAGATTTACAGCATGTGCAGTCGGCTGTCGGGATGAAGTTGATGTCGATCACTATTCCAGAACACATGGTCTGTTTCTTCTTGATATATTTCAAGGATCTTAAATATTTTATTTTTATTTATTTTTTATTTTGTCCCAGTTTATAGATAGTGTTGTGACTTCGGTACTCGTTTTTATGTGTTTTGTTTAGTTTTTTAGTTATTGTTTGTTTTTATTTCGTCCATCAGAAGTCGACATCTATCACATAAATCTTGATATAACATTCTTTAAATTTTAAAGCGTTTTTAATTATGGTATATACATGCCTTATTTTGATCATTCTACTGAGAAAGTCAGGATCACAATAAAAAAAAGTCGCAATCGTCCTCATGCTCATTATAAACGAAGCCGTCCATATTGATCATATCATAACAGGATACGATGAAATATATAATTTTGTTCCAATTGATTTATGATATATACAAATAGAAAACATTAATACATAACTTTAACGAGATAATAATTTCTAAAAAAGACATATCCAGTATTATATTTACTTATTACATGTACATACAATCTACATTCGGCGGCGTTGTCTCAGCAACATCTTTAGCCTCTCTGACTGTCAAATTATGATTCTTAAAATTCTTGAAATTGTCATCTAAACTGAATGACTGCGTGCATGATTAAAGAAGATTTGATAACAACAGAACAATTGAATTGATAGTAAGTGAAATGAAAATAACTGTGAGCGAATATTTGTTTTATGTTTGTTTAGATTTACTGGAAAATAAATGTCTGTAATGTCTTTGCTAATTAATGATGATAAACGTCATTTCGGAATTCGAAATCCGGCAAAATAACGTGTGTCAAACCACAATAGACAATGTCCCAGCAAATCACAGAACAACAAACTAAATTATTCCCTTATTATTCAAATGTGAGAAGGAAAAAAGTGAAAAGTGAAAGGACGTGTCATAAAACATATCGCTATATAGGTAACTGTGTGAAAGTGGAGTTCTTTGACCGAAAGTTGTAGAAATGACCACTCGGTAAAAAAAGTTCAAAAGCTGTTGAGAAAGGTATTTGACACCGTCTCGTAACCAATTAAGTACTGAAGGACTACACTACTACACCCTTTTTGTTCCCACAAAGGTAATTGTTCTTAAATACTACCGACCAAACACATTAGGACCAAAACTTTGAAAATTCAAATTCTCTAAACTACTGTTGTAACTGAGGAACAGGTGCGTTAAACCAGCTTAATGATAAATTAAAAAAGATAGAGGAGTATCTTAAATTGTCGTCTCATTCAGATAACAAAAGACACAACTATGCATTTCTTTACCGATATGCCTCTTGTTCTCCTGTATTATTTTAGTGCAGATAAAAATCACAGGCAGTTAGGGATAGCCAGTGCAGATAAAAATCACAGGCAGTTAGGGATAGCCAATTCTTTCTGTGTGCTTACCTTGGGCTGCTGCTGACTGATCGGTATGTCTTCGTCCACTACTGCATATTCCACATCTCTGTCGGTAGTAAGCGTTCAAGTATGTACACTCGGTACAGGACCAGTCTGAAATTCATGTACAGATATTATAGTGTATTTCAAATAAGCCTCTCGGGATTTCATTATTAATTTATATCAGATATATTGTACTGTTGTCTACGCTTTGATAGTAGCATCCATATTATATGTTTTCTTGTATGACGTCATGTACGTTTAGAATGACATAACCAGACTGAAGAAAATAAAAAAGCCATCAATTGTGAATTAATTTTAACAAAACCACAAAAACAAAACTTACAATATGACTTCGTTAGTAACAACATTTTGCTGTTTTCTTTCTATACAAAAAGGATTGTAATAATAAAAAAAATCTTTTGAAATATGACTCTGATTCATAAGTTGTCCATTATTTCACTATGAAATATTGAAATCGCTATAACTATACCATAGTCCTTGTATGAATCCATCTCAGCCAAGACTGGTATTATCTGCAATAGTAATAATAACATCTACCGTAAAACTTTGCGTACAGAATATCTTTTAAAACATTGCATTTTGTTATGATATGCCTCAATAGCATTGCAGTCTTTTCGTTTATGAAATAAAAATCATATTACCATACAATGTTTATAGTCTGGTACTAGGGTGATATCTATTACTGACAGTTGATATGTAGGTTTTCTATAAAGAGACATATCGGGGGTATTATTTGTGTGTACAATGTAAGAATAATTTCGTGGGCAAGAGCCCCATATAAACGACAATCTGTAATCTAAGAAGGTTTTGCATATTGGAAAAAAGGTGTACGAGCCTACCCTGATAATTTCGGTGAAAAGGTCAAGTAAATGCCTGAAAGGGAAGCTTTAATGTATGCATATAGGACATATAAACCTACGGTGTGCTTAAATGCCGCTGCGTCACTGGCAATAACTTTATTTTGTCTGCAAACATTGGTACTGAATATAGAGCAGGGAGGGTATATTGACAACTAGTATATTAAATGAAAGACTTAACCGATACTATTTGCAAATGCATTTGTAATTCCTGCTGATATAAACCACAATATTGATGTATTAACGTTTGTGAATAAGAACATGACATCTGGCTAATTATGCCGAAAATTATAAAAGTATGATATGTGTCCATCGAAAAAACCCCATATTGTTCGAACTTAATTTGAGCATTGATATAGTTTATTAATTTGACAAATGACCTTTCGTAATTTATGTGCAGATCTTGAATTTTGCCTTAGCGTTGGTAAAACAAATGTAAATGGCCCTGACACGTAAATTATGTATATAAATTAAAACACTCGTTGGAACATGCAGTACAGAGATCTTATAGTGTATATGTAAATAGTGTTGTTGAAAATGGACGAGGAACCATGGACAATAAGTAATTTAAAAAGCTCACCGTCTGATAGTGGTAGGCTAAATGTCCTTTGCGCAATTCGATACTTAACATCAGCAACAGTGTTGGGGTGGAAGGGGGCAAAAATCATAATAGTAAAGTGATTAACCTTTGAACGGCAAGAAAGCGCTCATTTCGTAGGAAGAATACAGAATGACAACTTCACTGGAACATGGCTCTTCAATCATTTTTTTATTACGCAACTTTTCGTCCCTTTCGAAAAGAAGGCAACCCGTACAGTATTCTTCACACCTCAACCTCTACATTAGATATTAGTTCTAGAAACATCTGCTTCTAGTTTATGTACAAAGTTTCAATCAGCCATAAAGTCATCATGATTATATTGTACGACTATTCTATAATTGCTATTTTTTGGTAAAACCAGCCATTACACACACTAAAATCTACGTATTAAGTACTTAACATTTGCAATATTATTATGCAAACAATTTAGTACGCCATTACATTTGATGTTATAAGTATAGAAACATAACACTTTACCGTTAGACACTTACCCTTTACTCTTCGTGCCGTCTCTATATATCGCTCCTGTTAAGTCGATCGCAATGCCAGCATGCTAGCACATAATTTTACCAATGTCTCTTTTCAGTGTGAATATATATGCTCAGTCAGATTACTTGGTAAATGACTCATTCCTGTTCCGAGAATTACCTTGAGCGACAAAATCCACACATGTAACAATCATAGCGTAATGGAAAGCGGAAGTAGATCAAGACGGAAAGAGTCTTGCTACAATTACATCCACGTTAAACGTGATACAGATGGATCCGATCACGTGGGTTACAGAGGGTATAAATACAGGTGCGCTGAGCCGGTCACAACAATATCCAATTACTTAAAATGAAAACAATTTAAAAACTGATAATACGCTCGGTTGTTATAGGATAGCTGCAACGTATGTGTTCCGGCCACGTGCGGGTTGTTCCGTTTGTTTGTAAAAGAAGGGACGAGTCAGCCACCCCACAGCAATCCTATGGCTAACCGAGTATAACCAAATTATATATATATGTATACATGAACACATACACATGAATACACATATATATACCACCGGGGAGCGATGTACATTCTGAAGCAGTTTACCGCTCCTAGACTGTAAAAAGCTTAAACGGTGGATATAAAACAGGATAGAAATGTATTACCATTATAAACTGTATAAAACGACCCATAAAATAGGTCCTCTCGCTCATCCGGCGTAAAACCCCACAAGGTTAGCGCGGGTAAAGGAGGGAGGCCAACAATGCTATATGGACCTATTAGTTAGGTAGGAATAACGGCATAAGCGAATAATGAACTAAAAATCAATATCGGTTTATCTGACACCGCCAATAAGAGTAATATAACACCCTATCCAAGCAATTACAATCTATAATAAGATAAAACATATGGCAACATGATCTTATACACATAAAAGTAAATACAACAACAACCAAGTATCCTCCAACTACCTATCCATCCCCCTCCCACAAATCGTCCCCAACACTAACCCGGTCCATACAACTAACATCTGAATAAGCCCATACATCAATCAGCACATTTCTAACACCCAGCACCTCTTTCAAACCTACAACCCCCCTCACCCCCCCAACTCCCATCCATTCTATATCCAAATCCTAGCACTAAATCTCCCCCCTCCCCTCCCCACGTGTTTCATCTTTTCCCATACTAATAATCACACTATACACTAAAAACTAGAAATGTCGGAACGAGGAGCAGAATTAAGTGAAAGACAAGTCGAGGTATCTAAGAAAGATGACATTGGTATAAGTTCAGTCAAGTATATAATCAGTGAAGAATGATGAAGAAAGGAATTCAAGGAACGGACACCAAAAAAANTAAGATATTTAAAAGGACTTCCAGATTTTATACATAAACCAAATTCTTAAACCTAGGCGGGGCTGATGGGGCTGACGGCGGCACAGTACCTCACTTCCGGTCCAGAATTGGTGATGCTTCACAATAAATGTTAGGTTAAGGCATTATTAGACATAAGAGTCGTCTCACAAAAAATAGACAGTTAATATATATAGGATAGACGGCTCTTTATCTAATCTATCCCCCTCTTCTACTCTTTCCTCCATACTTTATCCCTTCTACTCTTTTTCCTTTCTGTTCTTCGTCTGCTGGATAACCGATACATCCGGTAGTGAAGCGGACGTAAAACCTATCAATCAATCAATCAATCAGCCGGCCAGGCAGATTGAAACCGACCACAGTGTGATACAGACCAAGCTAACAACAGTAGGTTTATATAGGAAGCCAGCTGAAGCTAGGTAATATATATACCCTAATAGCGTGTAGATATATTAAAGGCCTGAATAAGGCCATACTATATCGACACCGATAGATACTGTCAGCGGAGAGTGGTCTGTGAGACATGTACGTTGGCTACCACTACTTACGGCGATAGGTAGATAGGTGATCGGTGGAGCGGTGTTAGTGTAGGTGACGGTCTGGTGTACAGGTAACCTACACGGCGCTCCGACAAGCCTCACACGTATACATACGCGGTTGGTTGGTAGCGGAGCTGGCAGAGCGGCGTGGTGACCAGAGACCGCGCATTGTTGTCGCCCGCCACCGCGGTACTAACAACACTGTTGACAGCAGTGTGTGCAGCTGCGCCTTTACATATGTATGGTTAACGATACGTTGTGGTCAAATAACCACTGTAAATATCTTCATGTTGCTTTAGCATGCCCGGGCGGCATGTAGTTGTAGTAAATCCGATACATATATATATATATTGTACTAAGGGGACGGTGTAGATATCTCAAATCCCAGGCAGTGACCTGGTAACGAACCCCCTTACACGTCACAATAGCATTGATTCGAATAGTGAATAGAGAACTCACGTTGGTAACACGATATCATGAACTTTAATTTCAAACACCCGTGACTTGACGGTATTGCTTATTATCAAACTATATATACCGATCGCTTAGCAACAAATCAAACAGTATAACATTGATATATTATATCTGTTATGCAATTGACTATATATATATGTTTAAACATGTAAATTGAATGCATACATTCTGATTAGCTTACTTGTTGAATTTTTAAAATTTTGAGAGAAATGATTGTTGATTTTAGGTAGCAGATTACAGTAGAAATCGCCTGATCCTAAAAATAAAGGACATGCCTCAGATAAATATGGATAGTGGATTCATCCTGTTCAACACACCTACATATATATATTTATATAATAAAAAAAGGATTAAATTTCCATGAGAAGTAAGTAAATAAAGAAAAAATAGGATTTAACGACCGACTAAAAAACTAGCTACTTTCACCCTTCACAGGACTCTTCAGGTTTTGGTAAGATAGTATTTTTTTTTCATGAACTATTTTCCTCTAATTTTGGACTTGCAAAAACCCTGGTTACCTCATCAAAACAAAAACTAAAATAAACAAAATATTGCAAAAAGGAAACATGATTTTGAACCCAAAATTTGACCCCGCAAGTAGTAATTGATTTCTTAAAACCTGTCTTAAATTAAATATCACCTACTTAGTAACAGAAATACTCACGAGCATAGGACATTCAGGTGGATTTTCACAATATTTACACATGTACAAAAATGGACTACATGAAAGGCTAGCTTTTGTTGTGTAGACACAGATTTGCAAATGGTCAAAACTGTAGTCTGTAGTAATATCACAGGGGCTATTCATTGTACAAAAATATCACCCAGGGCCACCGTACGCTATTGTTCTCTGCTACCGTATAAGCAACTTTTTAAATAGTTAAATCTTATATATATTGGTATGTGTCAAAATAAATACTGTAAATGACTTGTCCCTTGTACAATTTAAAACCCCTCTAGAGCTACAATTAGTTTTATTGGGCTGTACAATCTTGATATTATTTACACTTCTAATGGTTGTAATGTATTTTGGAACACATTGTGAAAAGCCAAAATGAAACATTCTCGGGACGAAATTGTGAGAATCTTCAAAATCTTCGTTGAGTTCGGGGATAGAATTTTGCAGTAGACTGCAGGCATCACATCTTTTGACCGATTTCTTTTCTTTTCTTATTTATATGAAGCTGGGTTATTGAGGAGCTTACATGTATCAAAATTGTAACATTGTGATAATTCAAGATGTTGTATTGACCCTTGCAGTCAGACCTCATTTTGATAAGATAGAAATAATTCGATAAGATAACGCTCGTTTACTGCGCGGATTAATACAATTCACTGGATATGAAGCTCTTGTGAAATATAAATGAACTTGCAATGTTCTCGTGCAAACCAAGCTGTGTCAGATGAACAAGTGTGGTATTGCCTATTCATTTTCTCTCGTGTCATTCAAAAGTAGTGCAGCAAAAAAGTACACAAAGGAGTCAATTTCGTAATTCAGTTGTTACGAGTTTGGTAGTAACGCTCGAATCACAAGCTAAAGGTACTGATGACTAAATCTTTACCGGGATTTTATGAGAAGACAGAAGATAACTCAGGAGGATAGCAGACGACAACATCGGAATCATGGGACGGCCGCCATATTATTATTAGCGTAACATGTTCAAATCACGATGTCTGTATTACGTATTTAAGGGGGTTTTCACATATAACATGCATGCTAGAGTATTTACCTAGTTCACATAGTTCCTAAAGACTTCATTCGTATCCATTTTAAGTATCGTTGATTGTTATTTAAGCTAGGAATGACTATTTTCGTCTCCTCAAACTGTATGATTAAGCTTGCTAGCACTGGTACCTCTCAGTTGATCTTTACACTGTTAGTTGTTTTTATGACGTCGATATATCATTTATTATCATTGTTGATATTTATAACCCAGTAATGGTATTACATGTTAACTTGACACTCACTATACCTCAATTAACGTTGGTGTATTGACTGCAATAACTCGTTGGTATGAGAACATGACACTATCTGGATTTGATCTAGATGTTACATGACGAGTGTTACCTATAAAGCAGAAGATTTTTACCCTTACGGATCACAATATCTAAATTTACCTTTTACTTGTTCAAGGGTATCCATGTAAATCTTTCCTTTGTTCATATTTGCCTACGTTTTGTCGCTTTTGAGTTACACTTATGATTTTGTTGACACCAGCATTCACTTATTGTTTATTCAATCGTCAACACAGTATAACAACTTAACAACCAACGCATCATCACATATAGACAATATATACCCTAGCGTCATCACACAAAGACAAAGAAACCACAGCGTCAAGAAAAAAGTAGAAAACCACATGACATCGCACCTGATTCAATATACCACAGCGTCATCACACCAGGACAAAATATATCACAGTAGCTACACATTAGGACAAAATATATACCGCAGCGGCTGCAAAAATTAAAGACAATGTATACCACAGCGATACTAACAGAAATGATACCACAGCATCAACATTAAAAGAGATAACACCACAGCGACAACATTGAAAGAGATAACACCACAGTCTCAACACACAAGACGAAATACATACAACAAATTAACCAAAAAGAAGAGATTACATATCTTTGTCAATAACCAAGGACAAAATATTACAGAGAGGAACTAAAACAGAAATTCACACACAGCGTCAACAGCGTCACCACATAATGAAGAAGTCAAAACTCAACGTAGATCTACTGTGCGCAAAAATAAAATAAAAAAGGAACTAGGAATCTACCATAATAAATGTACCCTTATATTAAAAAGTATATATTTCGATTTTGTCATTCGGTGTCAATATTATAACTATCCTTTAACAAGCAATACGACAGGTAAAACAATATACACTGATTGACACTTGACTTTGATGTCGATAAGGAAATTAAATAACAGAACCACAATGAAACAATAGGAGAGACATCAAGTTCCCAGCTCCCATCCACTCCTACCCCCACTCTGCTAACCAAAAATAACCCACACATACAATAAATAGATAAATAAATAAAACATGGATGGGGAACCATGGTTTCTCAACATGTTACGATCTCATTAACACACAAATAATTTGTTTTGGTCTGTATATCAGCACTTAATTACCATTTATTTGACTGACATTTTACCAAGGCATTTTCCGCAGAGCTACGACGAGTAGTCTGTGGTAACTATCGACAAGTCAAAACTCTGTTTTTATGTTCGTGTCATTTCTGTCACCTTTACTTGTTAAAAATAGAAACGTATGCCACTATTCACTACTGTCTGTAGATTATCTAATGTGTTGTGTACAGTATTATTTATATAAAAAAATATATCAGATTATTCATAATTTATATACACAGTATATGCTGTCATTACAACGTAAATATCTGTGAAAACAATTCTCTCATTAAGACGGTTTTTAATTTAAACATCATTACAATGTTTCGGTTAACATATCAATTCGATTAATATTTTTTTATATTTTTTTTACTTTTGTGATGATTTGCGTGAAGACATTCGAAAAACCAATTAAAAAGTGCTAAAACTAATGAAGCTACGACTTTGTCTCTTTTGACCTTGTTGTCCAATTATTGGCTAAATCACTAAATGACAATTGTGAGGTCGTATCAATATTTTACTGTTTTGAAAAATACTTGCGTAGAAGTGCTTTATTTGTTGGACAATAATTGTTTTCCAGCGAGATATTGTTTAGTGATACATCCATATCTTTATCAACTCAAATACTTTCCATACCTCTCTTAACCATCATAAAAGCAAAGTAAAATAGGGACCAAGAGGCTATTGTGATACTTTAGATAAACCTCATACTATAAAGTTGTCCACACAAGGATTTTTTAGTCAGCTACACTTTCATTAAATTCATCAGAGGACAATTCTGTCAGTGAGGACTAACTGTGAAAGTCATATCGATACATCATTTGTTAACAGAAAATAGAATGTACACAAGGGTAAAAAAATATCATAAAATATTAAATGCATCGAATATATATTACAGCCGCCATCATGGTTAATTCCTAGTCATTATATTTCGGGTGCGATGCAGGAAACGATATGGAGTACAGATAGTGTTATTTATTGTGCATTATGTCCTCTCCCCTCTTTGATTTGCTGTCTCTGGCTTATCAACAACTTTTGAGTTTAAATATTTGCCTAGTGTGCTGACGTATCCATATAGGTTCCGAGTTTTAATATTTGCCTTGTGTGCTGACGTATCCATACAGGTTCCTAGTTTAAATATTTGCCTTGTGTGCTGACGTATCCATATATGTTCCGAGTTTAAATATTTGCCTTGTCTGCTGACGTATCCAAACAGGTTCCAAGTTTAGATATTTGCCTTGTGTGCTGACGTATCCATACAGGTTCCGAGTTTAAATATTTGCCTTGTATGCTGACGTATCCATACATGTTCCGAGTTTAAATATTTGCCTTGTGTGCTGACGTATCCATACAGGTTCCAAGTTTAAATATTTGCCTTGTATGCTGACGTATCCATATAGGTTCCGAGTTTAGATATTTGCCTTGTGTGCTGACGTATCCATACAGGTTCCGAGTTTAGATATTTGCCTTGTGTGCTGACGTATCCATATATGTTCCGAGTTTAAATATTTGCCTTGTGTGCTGCCGTTTCCATATAGGTTCCGAGTTTAGATATTTGCCTTGTGTGCTGACGTATCCATATATGTTCCGAGTTTAAATATTTGCCTTGTGTGCTGCCGTTTCCATATAGGTTCCGAGTTTAGATATTTGCCTTGTGTGCTGACGTATCCATACAGGTTCCGAGTTTAGATATCTGCCTTGTATGCTGACGTATCCATATATAATCCAAGTTTAGATATTTGCCTTGTGTGCTGACGTATCCATACAGGTTCCGAGTTTAGATATTTGCCTTGTGTGCTGACGTTTCCATACAGGTTCCGAGTTTAGATATTTGCCTTGTCTGCTGACGTTTCCATACAGGTTCCTAGTTTAGATATTTGCCTTGTGTGCTGACGTATCCATACAGGTTCCTAGTTTAGATATTTGCCTTGTGTGCTGACGTATCCATACAGGTTCCGAGTTTAAAAAATTGCCTTGTGTGCTGACGTATCCATACAGGTTCCGAGTTTAAATATTTGCCTTGTATGCTGACGTTTCCATACAGGTTCCGAGTTTAGATATTTGCCCTGTGTGCTGACGTATCCATACAGGTTCCGAGTTTAGATATTTGCCTTCTGTGCTGACGTATCCATACAGGTTCCGTAGGATCTTTGTTACAGGATATCAAGTTCCATAAGTAATGAAGAATCAATTAACTCGAAAAGGATCAACACAATTATAAGCAGATTTCCTCCCACGCTTATTAACATACACATATTCAAAGGTATCAACAATGATACTATCATACAATCAAAATTATAATATAATGTTTAAGATATAATTCATAATATATCACAGCCAAATTGGTTTAATTACTATCCAAACGGCAAAAAATATTTAATTGACAAAGATTCAGTAAACCTAAATAATGCCATGACACCGATCATCGTTATACATCGTTAATTTTCGTACAATAAAGACCTCGACTAGTAACAAGGTGAATGACTCAGTAGTTCAATCCAACGTAATGCTTCAAGTATACCACATCGTTGAGATATCATTGATTCAACATGTGCCCTCAATTAAAGAAAATGATATAATCAACTTATTAAATGAAATAAATTAGCTGAATCGTACAATCTGGGACTTGGTAAATACGTCAAGGTATTGATAGGAAGTATTGGATTGTTTGTTAACATATCAAATACGGTAGTATGCACCAATCATACAGCATGTTAACTATCTTATCTTTGGAAAAGGAATTCTTTCGTGCAACTGAATACCATATAATCATTTCACACTTGACTCGCCATTTGTACACAGTGTGATCATGTTGCCCTGTCTACTGTTTCTGGTGATTGGAATGGTTGGGGGTGAAACATGTGATGTGGTATTCCAGGACTCCACCCACGCCAAGGCCAGTGTTCAGGAGTGTATTACATCAATGATGCAGGACTTTGTAAGCGAATTCGAATCCGCGCGAAAGTCTGATATCAAGCTGATTAAGAGCATGCAAATAGAAATTGAAAATCTTAAGGCTGACAATCTGTTAAATCGAAAAGAAATTGATCAGCTGAAATATGCCTATCAGAAACAAGAGCGGCAATATCAACAGCTAAGCACCGAGTCATCTGAACGCGTGGACATAATAGACAGATTGAAAATAAAATTGGACAATATTACACTAGAAAACGGTTACATGAAGGACAACCTGGACTCTTTGTCTAAAGCTTATTTGCAAAAAGATAAGAAATTCGAAAGATCAGTGTTAACGCCACGGACGCATCGGGAACCTATAACAGATGTACCTGGGGACCTTTCACCAAGTAACCACGCCCCCGCTCGATCCGTCTTTTCGTCGTCTGGCGGTAAGACTTTTAGTTTATTTTTCGTGTAACACGAAAAATTCAATTCAGTGAATTTATTTTGAACTTGAATCTTTTTGCGTGCGGGAAACATGAAAATCTCACACAGTTCCTTCTTCTAATGTCTATAATTTCTAACAAATCTCGCCCGATGGAGATGAAAAAGGCCTTAAAAAGTTGCCATCCCGCAGGTTGTTCCCATTGCTGAAAACCATTTAAATTTTCTCGTGGCGATCCCTGTGCCTGAACAACCTGGGCAATAATTAAAATAATAATAATAATAATAATTCGAGCTTCTTATATACCGCTTTATCACAGCCTAGTTCGTAGGTCGTCTCAAAGCGGTTCACAGATTATAGGACAAATACAAATAAGGCCTTTGCATCCAGCAAATATCTTTCTCAACACCATGGGGAGCATACAGCGGGTGCTGCCATTTCGGCGGTCACAACAAACATTCTACAAATCTAGCACTACCCACCCACGTACTCATTTACAGCTGAGTAGACTGGAACAAGCGGAGTAGAGTATTTTGCTCAAAGATACAACACAGTGCCGTGACAAGAGTCGAACTCGCAACCCTTCGGTCACGAGCCCGGCGTCCTACCACTAAACTACCGTGCTTCCCATAATTGACAATCGACACAGAAATGCATTGCAACGCAAATACGCTTGATTTATTCAAATTACTCTTTACATATAACGAGGGCTGCGTTAATCGCTAAATGTTAGAGTATGTTCATCGTCGTTTTTGTTTTGTTCAGTTGGCTCCTCGGTGTGTTTTTATATCCATTTTGTATTTGGATATTTTCCTTGTGTCTTGATGACGTGGATCATCTGCAATAGTGATGCCAATAATCTACAGTTAATCAACAACACTGCAAACATATAAACTACATGCTGCAGACTTACATAATTCTTGATATAAGCAGTTAACATTTATCTCAACTTTTAAGTCATTGTCAATGAAATCAAGTTATGATGATGTCACCATCGAAAGGGAAATATCTTAATCAAGTCAATCACCACGTTAGTGTAGGAGGTAAATGTGTAATTATGTGTCACTATTTTTCTCGAAGTATCTTCACAGTTTTAATGAACCATGTGCCTTTAACAGTGCCCTCGCACAGAGAGGCTATGGAAAAACAATTTAACCTGGTCTCAGATCAGTTGATTGACATAAATCAAGAGGAAATTTCATCTGGGTCATAGCTGTAGGTTCAATCGCAAACTAACTACATTATACATGTATATATTACAGATTCAGAGACTACACCTGTAGCGTTCCATGCCATCCTTGCTCACAAGGTTATAGATCCCGGCAATGACCAAGAACTCTCCTTCGAGCACGTCATCACAAACACTGGTAACTACTACAGCCATAACACTGGGGCATTCACAGCCTACCAACCCGGTACGTACGTCTTCACGTGGGAAATAACGGCGACTGCGTCCCAGTATATTGATACTCACTTGGTTAAAAATGGTGATGTAGTCGGATCCATAAAGGCTTGGGGCTATTATACTTCAGGCAGTACGTCGAGTGGTTCAGCCGTCCTCGTTCTCATTAATCGGGATGAAGTTTGGGTACGAGTTGGCGACCACACCGCAGGAGTAGATGTCCTGGCGACATACACGATGTTCTCGGGGTTCAGAGTGTACTAAACTACCGTTAGCTGCAATGCCTTTGAAACACAAAATTGTAGACCATGTCATATGACTACGACAATAAAGGCTTTGGTTTGAAAACTATTTAAAGCTTTAAAGCGAAAAGACAACATATGTTTTGTCAGTGCAAATTTCTTAAACACCTTATCTCGAACTGTTGTTTTATGATGTTACTAGATATTGTCTTTTTGTGTGTTTGGTTTGTTTTTGTTTCGTTTTTTGTTCTTATGCAATACATAACAAACATGTGTCAATTGACTCTTGCAGGTATTAATAACTACAAGTAATACACATGTATGTTATTGCCAGCTTGTATATACTGGGTTATGTTCATCACTCATTGTATGATAAGAACAATGTCCACACTTGCACAGCCAAACTGTTTTTGCACCAACGGTCATCACCTATGTACATTTTATATGTGAAAGTGTTCTTATCGTAAAATATAGAAATGGTGTTCACATAGTTTTTTAAACGACTTTAATCTTCACGTGTACAAATCACATCGGACACGTATTCAGGTAAACATAGCCGTCTTGTTCATGGTCGTGCCCTTTGACCATTGTTCTCGTCAACCGGGTCACTTACGTAATTCGCCAAGGTTTGGACATGCCAGGTGAATAAAAGCTTTAGGCCGACATTAACAAACAGTAGACCTCCAGTCGTATTTTCGTATTATCATTCGGTATCACCGATCCACTCTCTATGTCAGCCACTGGCCAGCCACAACTCGCGGGCACTCATCAACATGTTTTTCTCTGTTCTGATAGCCCCACTCTAGACAGGTTTACGGTCTCTGTAACACTGTGTAGCACGTGTTGTAAAATCAGACATACTGGTGAATATACTAACAAGAAATGTAGTATCTACAGTAACGTCCGTTTTGTTTTGTAAAATAGTGACCAACCAACAGTGATACAGCAAATAAGGACTGGATATAACACCAAAGCAATAGAAAAATACCTTCGGTGGGTTCGAGATTTTATCCACATGCGAGCGATGAGAAAATAGTGTGTGATAATCTGTTTATCATCTATTTCCTTCTACGTTATATATTTCTCCATTCACAAAATCAACTATATTCCATATCCTTAGTCCGACTTCTGGGATCTAATGATCATAGATATTCACGGTCGGTTACAAACGCAAAAACAAATAAACAAATTACCATTAATATTTTTTTCATATTTTTACAATTTTTTCCTTACGCGGAACACCGTTGTGTGGATGCTATTTCCGGTTCATGACGTCCACTAGCGCGAGCAATCAATCTCTTTTAAGAGAAGCCATTCCCAAATGAGAAAATCTCAGGTCGTTCTCAATTGCTTCCCGAGTATTCTCACGTTGAAAACCCGTGAATTTATCATGCTGTACGTGTATATAGATGATAATAAAAACACATGATACTGCCATGACAAAAAACATCGATTTCGATGTTCGATGTTCGATATGTTCCGAGTGATCCTTGTAACTGACGCAGGTTATCGCACATAGTTCACTCAGCCAACTGAATTATTCGAACCACACAAAATATGCGCGGCTTGTTCCAGCCCAGGTAAACTTCCTAGTCTTATTGCTATTATTGTCTTAGGCGAGTATGGTATTGGTGTTCGAACACAGCTTTATACTTGTCCATACGTATAGAGCAAAGCAATCATGTTTGTGCATACCAAATCTGGTTATTGCACAGAAACCAACTCATCAATCTCAAAATATGCATATAAAATTCACATAACACAGCCTGACACATGCCAACATGTATGTGTATAACTAATTTCATTGAAATCGAACCATTATTATGGCAGTTGTTGTATGGAAACCAATTAGCAAATCCTGAGTTCTCATTTCATAAACTATGTATACAAACGGACCCTTAGCTATGTTAATATGCATGTCAATATCAACGTTCGCTTAAATTGGACCATCTTAATGCAGTTTTGTATGGTACACATATTTTACTGAAGCGTGATAGACGGACAGACGGACGCACCCCAATCGAATTCACAGTTTTATTTGAAAAGTAAGGGATATCAGGAGCTCGGCTATTTACAGGGTAAATGACTCATTTTTGTGTACAGCACCTGGAATCAAGTATACCATATCATCGACACATTGTTGAAAATTACATAATCAAGCTAAATCGTACAAAATGAGACTATTTTTAATGCGTCAATGTATCGATAGAAATATGAATTGAAGTGTTTATTAACTTATATAAATACGGTAATATGCACCAATCGTACAGCATGCCAACTATCTTATCTTTTGAAGAATAACGTTTCGCTACTGCCGAAGACAATTTAATCATTTCGCATTCGCCATTTGTACACAGTGTGATCATGTTGCCCTGTCTGCTGTTTCTGGTGATTGGAATGGTTGGGGGGGAAACATGTGATGTGGTATTCCAGGACTCCACCCACACCACGGACAGTATTAAGGAGTGCATTACGTCAATGATGCAGGACTTTTTAAGCGAATTCGAATCCGCACGAAAGTCTGATGTCAAGCTGATTAAGAGCATGCATATAGAAATTGAAAATCTTAAAGCTGACAATCTGATAAATCGAAAAGAAATTGATCAGCTGAAATATGCCTATCAGAAACAAGAGCAGCAATACCAACAGCTACGCACCGAGTCAACTGAACGCGCGGACATAATAGACAGTTTGAAAATGAAATTGGACAATATAACCCTAGAAAGTGGTTACATTGAGGACAACAATGACATTTTTGCTAAAGCTGCTTATACGAAAACCAACAAGAGATCCGAGATACCTTCTTTGTTTACGTCACGGACGCACCGGACACCGGTGAGAGATGAACACGAGGACCCTTCACCAAGTATACACGTCCCTAGACAATTCGCCAGTGTGTCCTTCAATAGTAAGATCTTTAGTTAATATGACGTCTACTCTTCAAGAAAAGTACTATTAAACAACATTTTTTCAGCGATAATTTCCGTTTTTCTTCCGACAATAAATCATTATTGCTGAATATCCTAGACAAAAACTGAAAAAAAAAGAATTCTCGACTTTTTATTCCATAATGCTGGATGCATTGAAATTTCAACAAAGTTTAAGCTAATTAAAGGATTTTATACGCACACCAGGGGCTACGTTCATCCCGAGACATTAGTGCACTGTCATTATGGAAGCAATTTAATTTATATGTGTACATATTGGTATTATATTTTATTTCGCAGATATGTATACAAAAATCTACTGTTGGATCAACGTGATAATAATAAGTATATATCACAAACACTGTTTATACTACAGTGTAACTTGCAATGCTAACTGTATGGCGTGCTTTCTATTTGCCTGGTAAAATGTAAAACAAAGGCTGTTGTCATCAAATCAATTAACTAGTACACGTTCAGTAAAGACACTGCTTTCTAAAACAGTTACCCCGAACGAGAATTTTGTCCTTATTTTTTTTACTTACATATTTTTGGTGATTTTAAATGAGTTGGAGTCAACGCAAAAAGTACAAATATTACTGCGTTTTTTTGCTTCCATATTAGTGAAGTGATGTATTTTCCCTACGTCACATCCATAGGGAATATCGTTATCACGTCGGGAAATGGTTTAATATAAAGTATTTGTAAAACACGTTCTCCGCAGTTTAATGATATTTTTTACTGAATCCTGTAATTTATCACTTCCAATTATCACAGAGGCAAGACACAGCCAATTTGATTTGGACTCCAGTCGGTTGATTGTCATTATCAGAGTAGGTGAGAAAAGTGGATCAATTATCAAACTGTTGTTGTAATTGTAGACTTGATAGTGTACACTATATTTATTACAGATTCAGAGATAACTCCTGTAGCGTTCCATGCCATCCTTGCTCATCAGGTTATAGATCCCGGCAATGACCACGAACTCTCCTTCGAGCACGTCATCACCAATACTGGTAACTACTACAGCCATAACACTGGAGCGTTCACAGCCTACCAACCCGGTTCGTACGTCTTCACGTGGGAAATAACGGCGTCTACGTCCCAGTTTATTGATACTCACTTGCTTAGAAATGGTGATGTAGTCGGATCCATAAGGACTTGGGGCTACTCTGGTTCAGGCAGTACATCGAGTGGGACAGCCGTCCTTGCACTCGATAGTCGGGATGAAGTTTTGGTGCGAGTTGGCGACCACACTTCGGGAGCTGATGTCTTGCCGACGTACACGATGTTCTCGGGTTTCAGATTGTGCTGAACTACAGTTAGATGTAATGCGTTTAGAAACACAAACTTGTAGATAAAGTTATATGACTATGGAAATAAATGCTTTGGTTTGAAAACTAATTATGGTTTCACTTTTCGTTCAAAAGACAACATACATGTATGTATTGTCCTTCCATATTTCTAGAATACCAAAACCTTACAAGCTGTTCTAACATTTATCGTGATGATGTTTTACTTTTTGACGAGACCTTTTTCTAAAAAAAAAAATTCTAGCAAAAATGTGTCGCTCTTGTTAGTGTTAATAGTTACCAGTAATACATTAAAAAAAAAAATTCCCAATTTGTATTTCATACTCTGGATAGTGTATATCTTTCATTTTATCATTGTATTTGGCAAATTAATATCACTTTTTGCATCCTGTAGTACTGTAAAATTGGAAATTTTCGCGGTGTGGAAATGTTTGCGTTTTGAGTGTTGAGTGAATAAGCGCGAAAATATCAACTCACGAATATAATTTATAGATGATATATATTAGAGATATATAGGATAAATACATTTCTTATGCAAAGTCAACGCGAAAATGTTCACATCGCGATCGGTTTAAATAGCTATAAGACTCTTACGTTGCAACACGCAAACATTTCAACTTTTACAGTATCTGACATTCTATATGGGAGTTGTTCTGCGGGCTGTTATTTTGGTGAAATATTAGTGAATGGAGTGGAGGGAAAGTTCATGTTTCAAGCAGATGGCCATGTTCACGAGTTTGCTAACCGGAACGTAATGCTACAGATATATGACTCTAATAACAATGTGCATCATACGGAAATGGTACAGATGTTGATGTCGAAAAAGAGTATTAATACATTTGATAAACGTAAACAGGAAAAACAACCACCAGCTATAATGCAGTATATAATTGATAAGAATTGAAGTCAAGGGTTCTTATCAGATTAAAAGGAAGACATGACTTTGAGCGAGCAACGATAAATAGTTCAAGGTCAGACAAAATGACCGTTAATATTACCAAGTTGGTTGTTGTATTTCACATAAGAAGGACATTTATAAGTACAATGCCATTATTGATACCTTCTAGAGATTCAATCTATTAATAATGATATTAGACAATAATTTGTCACAAAACCAATGATATTAATCAAATAGAATGTTATGGGCTCTGGTGTAAAAGTGAAGTCCACTGGAAATCTCAGTCTGAAAAATGCTATTTCTGTTTCAGTCATTGAAATGGATACATACAGATACATTTTTGAAAAAATGGAAAAACCCCACCACTCAATCATTGTTTCGCTTTATACTACTCCACACATTACTTAAGCATTTCATAACATCACTCTATATTTACATTCTTGATGTTTGTTCTGTACATTAATCTACCAACAGAAAACAACTGCCATTGTGTGGCAGGGATAGCCTGTCCAAGTATCATGGATAGTGTTAGTAATTAAATTATAATGTTTATTGAAAGGTGGATGAATGAAGTAATATTAGTGGAGTTTAATTTGTAATTATGTCTTGTTTGTACAGGTGTACATGTATTGTTTGTAGTATCTAGTCTTGTTCAGTGTCATTGTCCATGTGTCAGTTGTTCAGTGCCATGTGCTTTTGTTTATGTTTTGTTCTGTAACCTGTGACCTGTTTGTGACCTGTAACGCCATACTTACCTGTTGGTCATGTGACCTTTCTTACCTGCCCATGCAATTCACCTGAGTGAAAAATCAGTTTTGGCAGACATGTTGGAAGGGTTGACCATATAGAAAAGGTAGGAGTTAATATGTTCAAAATTAATGTAATTTTGAAGATACTCTTTTCATGTAATAGCTAACTATAAAACAGATTGTATTAACTCACCAAATTATCATGAGATATTTTGAGTAACTAGTATAGTGTACTTTATTGATGTACTGAGTAATGTTCAGGCTATATGCTCTGTGAATATTTGGAAATTCGAAATAACTTCTTTCTATTTCTATTTTAACGATAATGTAAATATATCAGACTAAATCAATTACATACTACGATGTAACAGCGTTTGATTGTTCTTGCAAGTACTGTAAAGAGTCCTTGGTTATTTGTTCAGATTCGCCTGCAGTTATATACTGGATTATCAGGATTATAATGGAACCCTTGTCCCATTGATAGAGTAAGTTCATTACAGTTATATACAATATAAATAATGTATATTACAAATGATATATGTTGTAGGTCTAAGTAATGTGTAATATATTAGCCAGTTAAATAGGTTATAAAAGTCTATTTTGTCCATGAGCATTGTTATATAAAGTCAATGAAATAAGTAAAGATATTGTGAAATAAATCATAAGTATGAAATACAATTAATGATAAATAATAAATGTAATTATACAGATAATGATATGATACCTTGTAATAGGTACAGTGTAATGTTTTAGTAACAAGGTGGTGTCTACTGCATATTTCCTATACGTTTGTCATTGTGTTCTTGTAGGGTGTAAATTCATCCAGCATGTCTGATGTCCAGAAATGGGATAATTAAACGAATGGAAACCAAGAACGTGTTTGTTGTAACGCCTCTGCCCAAATCCCATCCCTATTTCATTTGGACTGTGAATACACTATGAAGACAACCATTCTCGTGCAACCAGTCAGCTGATTTCACACACAATGACCACTGCTACGCACTGTACCGTTTCTGAGAAGAGTTATCTCCCCTTCTCCGAGATTCCGTATGTACAATTATCATTATTTTTAATTTTTAATTTCAAAATAAAAAAATAAATATTCATAACATTGTCATATTAAATACTGACTTCCGACTCACTAAATCGTTCCGAAACGTAGGTAACCAACACTTAATTGTCGTCTGCTAGACTGTTGCGCTAACCTACAGGATGACGGACGTAGAGGGTAGCCTCCTAACAGATAGCCCCATCAAGACGTGTGGTATAAAAGTGGCAGGCTGACTGCGAAAAAATTGGGCAAAATTGTTTTTGGAGGAAACGGAGTTCATGTACGCGAAAGGAGAATAAAGTTTACGTGCATATACATCGAATGTAGGAGGTTTCTAAAAGAAAATGTATTCAGCTTTCCAACGGTACTAAGCATTTCCCCGTAGTTCAACTAGAAATGTTGTTTTTGATGAAAGAAAGTTAGGTGGGGTCGACATTTCGACGTCGAGAGCTTTCCTCCCTTCTCGGATATGTGCTAATTGGCGGTAACATTTTTACCAAAAGTCGATCTAAACCCCTCAAACATGTAAAATAACGCTGAAAACCTTTGTTATGGTCCAAATATAACAAATTATCAGTTCCCTGTGATAAAGATGGTTATATCTTTCAAATAATAACGAAACGCCATCAAATAATCATTCGCTGAATTTGTAGTACTAGCCAAGTTCCGGTTCCGGCTTGTTGTTTGTGCAATGGCACATGTATAAAAACAATATTAAGGGTGCAAATATTTAATTCGAATGCTGTTTTCTATGTGTAAATTCTGTATAAATCGTTGATCGCTATATTCATCAGAATTAAGGTGATGATTTTATCAAGTTGACACAATACCACCAATGTTTCTTTTTAAGCTAAACAAGATAAGTTTGATTTTTAAATTATTTTTTCTCAAGCCGTGATACAAATGTGGTTGATATTATATTCATCGCCGGCAAATGCGAAACGAATGTCTAATTTTTACAACAATCTATATTTACATTTGCGCTGCAACCTACTATATGAACATTGGCAGCGGAAATGCATTTCATTTGAGTATGAAAGCAAAAACTCTCGTGACCTATAGTAAAAATGTAAATATATGGATTGAACGGCTTTTTTTTTTTTTTTTTTAATTTTCATGATGGTATGAACGCAAATCCTTTAAACAAAGTAATCATTCTTGTTGTAAGTGCACATTGGGTCTTAATGTGGGAGGAAAGCAAATTTCCTCGGGTCCGATCGGGGAATCGAACCCCGGTTGTCTTGGTGAAAAGCGAGTTTGTTATCCACTGTGCCACTCGACCACCAATCATACACGGAAATCGAACCCCAGACACTCGACCACCGACCATTTAAAGAGATCTCCGCTCATTCTGAATATGAGAGAGTAAAATAGGTTAACCGACTTTTACCTGTGGTCGTAAGGATCAAATGAAGCCAGGATAAAAGGGTAAACAAAAGTTTAATTTTCTGTTCACTCTGAAGGACACTAATTTCTTTCAGAACAGTTCACAATTCTATTGCAGTTATCTCCCTTTGTACTTGAAAAGAAAGTATGAACCCTTTTCCTCTTTATTGAATACTGATATATATATAAACATTAATCGGATGGTATTAAACGACTTACGAACGAAGGCAAGGCTGGACATTAATGATATCGATTTCTTTTTTTCCACTTTCCCTCTGTTTACTTCCACTATTATTCACTTTCAAATAGGTTCGTCAAGTGAATAACTTTCGCGTGTTGAGTACAACTGTTACTAATATAACAATAAACGAACGAGCACCTGCTTGCTGGAGTTCGTTTTGGGTCGACACTAGTGAAGCATGTACAGTAGGTCTAAGTGTGAGGAGACGTAACGTTCTAACATGTGATATATTAATGGTATTTGTCGTGTGGGGATGTGTTCAGTGGTTACATATACTATTTGTTATTCTTATTAAATCATGTCGACGATTACTTTGAGAAAAAGCCTTAACGGTATGAACACAGTCGGGATGGAGGAATACGTGGATGAGACAGAGATTGCGACTATGGTGGCGTGGATTGATAATATACCTCTTTCTAGACCCAAAACCAACATGTCGAAGGATTTCGAGGACGGAGGTGAGATTGTGTTTGTTTTGTTTTGTTTATTTATTGTTTAATTGTATAAATCAATATATTTTCAAATTTCTTTACAATGAAACAAATATGTACTGGGCAGTAGATATCTATTGTGGGGTCATTGTTGTATAGGGTCGATTAACGCCAGTTTAATAGGCCCAATTTAAACCAGCTTAACGGACCTAGCTGGTGAAATGAGTAAATTGATCCCCAGCAAAGCGCAGATTAAGTGTATTGGTTATACGATAAGACCCGGCCCTAACAGAACATCAGATAGAACTAATACGCGCCCGAGCTGAATACTTCAACACATGGTCTTGTATTTTTCACCTACAGTGTAACTACAATGTAGCACGTTAAACAGTAATATGAAAACGGCAAAAACTGAAATAAGTGTTACTATTCCTAACCTTTGGGATTTATTTATTGAGGATTGTATATCATAGATGATGGACATTCACTATACATGTTTTATACCATACTACCGTAGTTTTTGTTCAGTATAGACTTATAGAGAATTTACTACACAGTACACCAAAAATATACTGCTGCCATATGAGGGGTTAGGGGATGTGATGGGGAATTGATAACGCTTGAAGATGCATCAGTTATAACTAGTGACAATGCGTCGTAGAAGTGAACATAATATTTAAATGAATAAATACAAAGAATGTCTACGTTTTTGGTATGGTCTGTTAACAAAAACAAAATGCAATCGGACTTCTTCGGAAACATACTTAATATTTACTTGTTTTTGAGTCTGCGGCACTGATGTTGTATTAATGAACTAGTAGATAAGAATATATATTATAAGTTGCTTAATTATATTTATTCAGGTTACATGTATATATAGGCCTTTCCTTAGGAGGTCTAGCACTGATCAAATGAATACTCCTCACCTGTCATTTTCTCTTCTCTATTTTGTGCATTTCCTCGTTTTCTCTCATTTTGTGAGACAAATATCGTTCAGCATGTTAAATTCCTTAAAACTGCATGGCAATTGACTTAAGAAACATTCAATGAAACGATAAAGTGTACGCCCCGACCCTTCTACTATACGTTGCCCTTACAATGTTCTGTTTGCTTTGCTTCTTCTCTTGTTATCATTGAGCTGTTATCACTCTAAGGCTTACAATCCGTGTATATGATAGCCACAAAACTGCATTGTTCATAAAAATGGACGTTTTACATTAAGTAATCAATTTGAAAGTTAATTTAGTGATTTTTTGAGGTCAGGAAAAAACACTCTTAGAAATACTAGTGACCATATAGTTGCTCTATTTGGGCTTCCTCTTACAAATCTTTCCGTTATTCCTTCCATATTCTTGGTACATTGTACATGTAAGATCTGTCCACAGTATACTCCTTGTATATATTCTCGTCTGTCAATACACCTGTTGCTACCCTATCGCCTAAGTAAAATTACCCTGATTCAGAAATCATGCTATTATGTTATAGCCGTTCATAATATCACAGAGAAGCATTCTGGATCGTTAGGATTTTTTTTATTCAATTTGATGCATGATTTATCATATATCATATATCATGCCGTATAATTTTCGATCAACCACATGAAATATCGAAAAACGGTCGGATTTTAGTTGGTCGGATACAGTGCTGTCCCAGGAATGACATAGGTATTTCTACGTCCATTCGCCGAGCTAGCGGCAAATAGTACATTTGTGTTGCTGTGAATTTTTTAAGTAGCCGAGTGGAGTGAGACAGTTAATTCCTATTGGGTAGCACCAAATATACGGCATCGAGATTGTAAATTTGGAGGCGATGGAGTTACACGTAGCAACCTTGTTTATATTATAGGTGTATTGACAGACGAGGCTAATACGTACCACTCCTTAAATTCATTTGAAAACTCATTTGCGTTAGATGTACAACCATCTACTTCAGTTTTTGAGAGCGAAAGTTGAGTATTGTATATAATAAACGCAGACACAACTGTAGTACCACGAACTAGGACATTTACAGGGTAAATTTTGTCTTTTTTCCTTTTTCTTGGAGTGTCAACTGTTTGCCAATGAAAGGCGTATTATGTTTCAAACTTTTAGTGTCTTACAGCTATTAGTTCAAATTAAGAACTTTTGTTTGGCAATTCAGATTTTTTTTGCGGCAGACCTTAATATCTACGATTTTAGGCATGTGCATCATTTCATCATATTTCGCGGTAGCTTTTGAACACTGTTTTGATGTTGTGTATTTGTGTCGATGTGAATAATGTATCATATCTTATTCATGTTTATACTCATTTTCATTTATACATGTATGCTGTAAATGTGTGACGGGAGAAGCGATGGTACGTTGTTATAACTTGTTCCTAATCCACTGTTCAAAGATTGGCAATACAATTTGTTAAAAACAAAAGAGAAGAAAAGTTTATATTTAGGTTCACAGAACACTGTTACATTGCTGACCCTTGATTTTGGAAAAATTACACTATGCTACTAAATTAAGGCTATGGGCAGGTTTTATAGTCACAATCATGATCTATAAGGGGAAATGTGCTATTTTCTTAATGTGTTAGTTATGAAGGTGGGTGTTCGATAGGCTCATTGATAAGCCTGGGGTTTTTGTTGTCTCTACACAGAGTTCTAGATGTAAGGACGTGACAATACTTTGACGGGTGTTGTCAATAAAGTAGAAGACGCTTACCCTTCCGGAACACCTGGTCTAATCATCCTTGTTCGTTTTTCAATGGTCTCCGTGTATATTTTTCTTTTCTTCATAGTTTACCCAAGTTTTATCAATTATGAGTTCGAATTATATTTCTTTTGTCACTTCGGTACATGTATTCTTTTGTTGTTTATTGTAAGCATACATGTATATCAATGTTTCATAGTAATTGTAATTTAGTGCTGACATGTATAATACAGTAAACATGTTCAATTTGATATGCTTTTATATCTGAAATGTAATTCTAAATATGAAGTAATGTTGCATTACTCTATGTGTATGTTGACTTTTTCTCTGAGATTTTCTTTAAATGTATTTTTTTTGAAATCAGTGTTTCATATATGTACATCCTAATTGCAATAAAACGAAATTATTTCGACGTATATACAAAATTGATAGTAGGATTTTGGTATTGTATCATTAATAAGACTTAAATGAATCAATGGTTGATGTTCCGGTAAAACAAACACAAGTCTGTTTTTATTGTAATACATCAAGTATTTTCTGTTCCATATATAATGTCTGAAACATTAATGGTATAATCAGGAAACCTGTATTATACCAAGACCGTCAATAATGAACAAACACGTGACTGTTTACTGTTACATGTATGAACAAATTAGAGAAAGTAGGTAGGTATTTTTGTCAGTAATGCAAGGGAATAAGAAATGCACACAATTTCATTATCCTCCTATTCTATGATGATGAATCGATGAAATGTAGCGTTACTACTGATACATTGCTGTTGTGTCACGCTATAGCTGCATGGCGTTTTTTGTTTTTTTACTGATTGAGTTTAAGGTTCAGTTTTGTTCACCTAATTATTGAAATCTACAAACAGCTTCGATGTCTTGAATAAAGCCGTGAATACTGTTGTAAAGTTTTCTTTAAAGCACATTTGATAGTTAGCGTTTTGGAACAGGTTTTTGTTTTGAATCGTAGACATTGACACCAAACGAAGGTAAATATTAACTGTAATAATAGAATCATTGTTTACATAACTAAAATATCATTTACATTATCACTGATAGTCTGATGCATGTATTGAGAACTCCATAGTACCCACACGAAAGCAGGATGTAATATGGCAACATTTATCTATCTATCTATCTATCTATCTATATATATATATATAGTTATAGTATGTGGGCTGTGGGCCAAAGCACTGAGGATTATCTTAATGTTCACTTATACCTGTAGCCGTATTAAGGAACATTTACCTGTATAACCCAGAAGTTAAACTCCTAAATCTGTGTAAAGTCGGATCAAATCTGTGATCAATATTTAGTAATACGTCATATACGTGCGTCCTTTAGGTTTTACAATATTGACATTCTAAGTATGATCGTAAAGTCTAGGTATAAAGGTGTGTTTAATTTTATCCCTGATTTTACATACTGCACTTATGCATGTTTATATTTGTTAATAATTGTTGGTAAATGCAGTTTATATTATAAACCTCACCGAAAAAGAAATAAGTACATGTGGAAATTAAGATATGTCACAAAATGTAGTGTTTAGTGAGTGTCTGTATGGGTAAATGTCACGCAAACACTAACTACTGGGGATCGTTAGACCAGCACTCGGCTCTTTGACCAGTAACTAGAAACACTGTACTACACGGTAGTAAAGGTAGACTGACATAAGTACTGAACTATGGGTAGATAAGTTTGTAATAAAATGAGTTGGGAAATTCTGCATGAAAACTAAGGGGCTGGTAGTTACATGTATACCCAGTCTTAAGTAAAGGGGCAGCGCTCGCGGAATGGCTGACATCTATGCCAACTAGGTACTGCCGCAGGTGGGTGGTTGTTCTCCGGGCACTCCGATTTTCCATCACCTCCAAAACCTTGGACGTCTTTAAATGACAATAGCAGTTTATAGTACGTAAAAAATCACCAAACCAAATAAGGTAGTAAAATAGCTGGTCATGACAATAAGCACGGCGGAAACACCTCGTTACTTTTTTACTTTCGTACGCATGTTGCCACTTTATCGCCGTTATCTCCCTTTGTTTCTGTTTCGATTAACAAATATGTATAATCAATTTCGAATTACAATCGAAAGTATGACCTTTTCTCTCTGTGTTAAACATTTATCCTCGTTCGTCAATGCTATCCGCATTTATATATAAAGCGGAGCAGGGAAAGTAAAGAAGACTTGTTCTACTTTCACTTTTGTCTACCTTTCGAAAGGGATTATCAAGTGAATTATTTTCGCGTGTTGAGTACAACTGTTACTATATGACAACAAACGAACGAGTGCCTGCTTGCTTGACTTACCCTGGGTCTTCACCTACACACTTCGATAGTGAA